TCCTCCGGCCGCGGCGCCCCCACGGCTGCGCCGCGCCCTGGGCGCGCTGGGCTGCGCACCGCTGGGATTTTTTTCTTCCTGGTCAACCTTTGGCCCGCAGATGCAATAACTCACTACTTTTCCCGCAGTTCGATATGTTTCCTTGGTAAGCCAAATGTTTATCTTTCGAGCATGATTATCACGAAGTGCCCTGACAGACGAAAAACGCGATAGGCCCAGGGGAGAAGCAGCGGAACTGCCTCCCTCCTTCACCCACAGGGGATCCCCGGGTCCCTTCCTCAGTGCACAAGCACGTGTGTCCCCTCCAGGGACGGCGGCCAGCCGCGGGTGGTGGTGTTTGCCTGTAGTCCTAGCCCTTGGGAGGCTGAGGCAGGATGATCTCAAGTTTGAGGACATTGTTTCAAAATAAAATAAATAAAGCGGGAGGTGCAGCTCAGTGGTAGAGCCTTGCTCAGCACTCGTGGTTCCATTCCCAGCACGGCAAGAAACAAAAACCCACAAGGGGTAAGAAACAGCTGCAAGGAAAGCAAACAAAACGGAAGGGCGCTATGATGAAAGAGTGCCGAGATACGCGCGCTGTTCCCGGACGGCTGAGTTCCTGGAGGGAGCAAACGGGAGCCCTCCCCTTTTTCCTTTTCTTTTTCGGGCGCTGGGGCGGAACCCAGAGTGAATGCTGCCTTCCGCGGGTGCGAGGCAACTTCGAGTCGCTCCCTGTACTGACTGACCCCTTAGAGACCTCTGTAGTGAAAGATCTGTTCAAATCTTTGAGCCGTTTTCCTTTTTTCCACTGCCGGGGCCTTCACGGTAGCTGTACTCCCAGCCCTTTGTATCTCTTATTTTGAGACAGGGTCTGGCTAAGTCACTAAGTAGCCCAGGCTGGGCTGGAGCTTGGGGTCCTCCTGCCTCAGCCTCCCAGAGTGCTGGGGTGACAGTGTGCACCACCAAGCCCAGTTTGGTGATTTTCTTGTGGAACTGTTTGTCTCTTATTTTCAAACTGGAGAGTTCTTTGCATAGAGTTGTCTCTAGGTATCCAGAGCAGGGTGATACCAGGGCTCGAAAGTCCCGGGCTGCTCCAGGATCTTCCCTGACACGGTGTTGCACCTGCTCGGAATCCACGCTGGTCCTCTTGCTAATTTCCCGTCAGCTCTGCACGGTGCTGGCGTAAAAATGCCAAGTCAATCGTCATTACACTTTATTGCTCAGGAAGTAAGGACGGTAAAAAATGTGTGGACAAATTCGGTTTGGATTAGTTTTTTGGTTTTTTTCCTTTTTGAGACAGGGTCTCAGGCCGCATAAGCGCCTGCCCAGCAAGCGCAAGGTCCTGAGTTTGACTCCTGGTACCAAATTAAAAAAAAAAAAAAAAAAAGAGAGAAAAGAGACAGGGCCTTTCGATGCAGTTCAGGCTGGCCTTGAACTCACTTTGCAGCCCAGGCTGGTCGAACTCCGGCCCGGTGTAAAAGTCCAACACCCTCGTGTCTTATGTTCATTTATTTCTTTATTTTGGCACCGGGAATCAAGCTCAAGACCTTGTGGTTGCCAGGCAGGCGCTGTGCCACTGAGCTCCATCCCCAGCCCACCCTAAGGCTTAACGTAGGAATTTTCAGGTGACGCATACCGACCCCAGCGATATTTTAACTTTTTTCTTTCATTACTGCTACAAATGAGATTAAAATTTTTTTTTCCATCTTCTATTTTTTCTGGTGGTAAGAATTTAATGTGGCTGGCCCGGTGGTATGTGCCTGCATTCCCTGCTGTTTGGGAGGCTGAGGAGGGAAGATTTTGTGTTCAGGCCTGGCCTGGATAACTTAGAGAGAGAGAGAGACTCTGTCTTAAAGTAAAGAGTTGGGCGTGGTGGTGTGTGCCTGATATCCCAGCACTTGGGAGGCTGAGGCAGAAGGATCGCCATGAGTTTGAGGCCAGCTTGGGCTACATAGTGAGACTCTGCCTCAAAAAAACAAAGACAAAAGCAAAATATAGTACTTCTAACCTTAAAAAAAAAAAAATATATATATATATAAACAGCGGGTTCAGGACACAAAATCAGCTTAAAACATTTTTTTTTTTCTCAAGACACAGTAAGTCTGGGCCATTCCTTTTCCTTACAAATGGACCTCTGCTACTGTCTGCACTTAGAAAATGAGGTTTTCCTGTCACTTGTGATGACTGTCACCTGTTCATGGGTCATCTCCCCTTCCTCCACTGAAGAGACTGAATTTTTATCTCCTGCTGCCAGAGATTTACAAGGTCTGCGAGTCCCCACACCAAAGTCTCCACAATGTGCTCAGCCCCAACCACGAGGCCACTCATTTTTTTTTTTTCTGTTTTTTTTTTTTTTTTTTTTTTTTTAGACAAGATCTTGCTATGTAGCCCAGGCTGGTCTCGAATTTACAGAGATCTTCCTGGCTCAGCCTCCTCAGTGCTGGGATTACAGGTGTTGCCTCCATGCCTGGCTTTTCCTTTTTACTCATTTTTTTTTTTTTTTTTTGAGTCAGGGCCTCATATGTAGCCCCGGCAGGCCTTGAAGTTGCGGCGATCCTCCTGCCTCAGGTTGGGGTGACAAGTGTGCACCACCATGTGTGGCCTGGCTTTTATTTATTTATTTTAAAAAATTTTGATCTGTTCTGTTTCGCTGGGTGTCCCTCAGTCTCCGCACGAGGACACATCGTGATGAGCAGTCCTGTGATGCATGAGGTCTTCCAAACGCCGAGGACCGACCCCTTATGCAGGTCACACACGCCCTCACACTTACAGAGGTGTATTTGCACAACTGCACCAAACATCCTTTCTGTCCCTGCTGTGAGAGGCTGAGGGCACACGGCCACGCCGCAGAGGCCAGGTCTGGCTCCCTAGCGGATTTGCAGCAGCGCTGTCACGAGGCGTCCACGGCCTCTGACCCTTGGGGTCATTCTCCCGTCAGGATCCAATGGCCTTGCATCACAGTCTCTTCCCTTGGGGCTGAGACTCAAGGCCTAACATGCAAAGGAGGAGGTGACATTTGTCTTGCACGGTAGGCAACATGGTGGCAGGGCCTGGCGGGCAGCGGCGCAGGGCCGGGCCAGGAGGAAGCAGAGCCCAAAGACAGGAGCCCGGGGGAGGGGGAGAGAGCCTCTCCGACCGCGCCCCTCAGACCACGCCCCAGACCGCCCCAGACCACGCCCTCTCTGACCACGCCCCAGGCATCTTCAGGCCGGACCTGCCCCCTCCAGTCAGGCCACGCCCACCCAGGCCACGCCCCCAGGGATCACGTCTTACCACCAGGCCTGCCCGCCCAACAGGAAGTCAGCTGTGGGCCCACCCGACCCGGTCACCTTCCAAAACTCCTGCCCATGAAAACGTGAGACCTTTGGGGACGCCATCCACACCATGACACCTGGTGATGGTGACACCGACGGTGAGGCCGCAGCTCTTCCTAAAGCTGAAAGTGCTTGTGCCCAGGATACAAGTGAGTTCTCTCCGGGCCGGAAATGTGCTTTCGTGCAGCGTGAATGACAGAGATGCCTGGCGGCAAATCAGACAACACAGCTGTAACGCCTGGTGTGGTGGCGCACACCTGTGATGCCAGCGCCAGGAAGCTGAGGCAGGAGGATCATGAGAGTTTGAGGCCAGCCTGAGCTACATCGGGAGACCCTGTCTGAAAAACAAAAAACAAAAACAAAAACAACAGCAAAAAAGCAAAGAGCAAAAATTGCCATGTGCAGTAACGCACACCTATAATCCTAGCACCTTGGGAGGCTGAGGCAGGAGGATCACAAGCCCAGCTTGGGCAACTTAGCTATTTAACAGGACCCTGTCTCAAAATGAAAGATAAAAAGGACGAGGGGTTTTCTGGATGTGAAGGCGCCGGCTTCACTCCCCACTACCACCAAAGAAATCTTTTTTGATACCTGAACCACTGAGGTTGCTTTTGTTGGACTGGTTCTTGGCTTTGCCCTGGAAGTTCCTCCTGGGGCTGGCACGTGTCCCCCGCTCTGTGGCTGAAGGTGCCACCTTTGTCTCAGCCCTACTTCCTTGTGGCTCATGCTCAAACCATTCCAGAGACCAACACCCAGGAGTCCTTCATGCCCCAGAGACTCGACCTTCTAGGAGCTGACATGTCGCGGGGCTGGGGTGGGGACACATTTCTTTCCCATTGGGAGAGCCACCGGAGTGAAATCAAACTTCTGCAGTGGAGCGTGGCTCAGCTTCCGGCCACAGGCTGTGGCCTTGTCTCAAGCCACGCCGCCCACCCTTTGCCACCCTGACAGACTGGCCTTCCCAGGATGCCCCGGCTCCCCCCACCTCCCTGCCTGCACTGGGCTCCAAGGGTCCCTGAAGTAACTCCTGGGGACAGGGTCTCACTATACAGCCCAGGCTGGCCTTGAGCTCGTGCTGATCCTCCTGCCTCAGCCTCCTGAGTGCTGGGATGACAGATGTGTGCCACCACGCCTGGCTGTTTGGTTTTTGAGGACGTGGCCCGGGGCCTCAGTGCTGTGCCGCGAGTCCTTGGAGAAGTCCCTCAAAGGGGACTAAACTTTTGCCGGGGGGGGGGGGCGGCTGCTAGGCCTCCTTCCTTCGCAGGGGCACCGGCCCCCTTCCCCGAGTGCCAAAGGAGTTTCACAGTGGACACAGCCCATGCGTGCACGGGGGCGTAAACTGAGGCACCAGGCTGGCTGGACCCCTGCTGAGAGCCTGATGGGGCCGGGGCCCCTGACACTGCTGTCACCCCTTGACTTTTTTTTTTTGAGACACGGTCTGGCTATGCGGTTCAGGCTGGACTTGAGCTCCCTTTGTACTCCAGGCTGGCCTCGAACTCACAACGATCCTCCTGCCTCAGCCTCCCGAGTACTGGGATTACAGGCGTGCGCCACTACGCCCGGCTACTGCTGTCACCCCTTGCCGAGCCTGCCCCTCCCCGGCTGGGCCCTGTCGCCTTCGCCCTGTCGCCTTCCGCCCCCACGTAGGCCTGACTTTCGGTAAATTACAGTGCTTGGGCTCTCAGGAAGCCGAGGGGCCCACACAGGAAGGCGGCAATGGGACTTTCCTGTCTCTGCCTCCGGGCCTGCCTTCCTGTCAGCCTGCCTTCCTGTCACCAGCCCAGGGTCCCCGCATGCCAGGTAAGAGCGGGTGGGCTCATGTTTCTGGCCAGGCACTGGGGGCTGGCAGGGCTGGTGGAGGGTGCTGGGGCCCCTCAGCCCCTCTCTGGGCCTAGTTCAGACCAGTCTCACGGGCGCCGGGGATCCCCGCCCGTGCGAGCACGCGGGCCAGCCTCGCGCATGCGTGCTGGGCTGCTGTCGCTGGGGAGCGGCGGTCCCATCTTGGCCCTGGGCTGGAGCAGAGGCCAGGGACTTTCCCTTTCCCACTGTCACTCTTAGAAATAATAATCATGTTTCTTGCTGGGTGTGGTGGTGCTGCAGGCCTGTAAGTCCAGCTACTCAGGAGGCTGAGGCAAGAGGATTGCAAATTCAAGCCCATCCTCGGGCAAATTACTGAGATCCATACGCAAACCTGAAAAGTGCTGGGGACTTGGCTCAGCAGCAGAGCGCCTGGGTGCTCAGGGTGCTCCTCTCTCCCCACTGTTTTTTCCTGTGTGGTTTAACAGGTACTTACTAAACGCTGGCTGAGGGTTACACGAAATCATGTGGATTAACCACGGTGATACATGGAGCCTGGCTGTACACAGGCAGCCACTTCCCGTGAGGGAGGGGAGTCAGTCCCCGGCACCGCTGCAGAAGTGGGTCCCTGGGATCCTTGTTCTGCAGAGGGGCCGGGATCTGAACCCAGAGTCTGGCGTTACCCAACCCCGGCAGGGGGCTCTTACTGTAAATTTCCTAAAACATTAATCCTGTGTCCTAAATTGGGAGTGGTGGCACGCACATGCCTGTCATCCCAACACCTGGGAGGCTGAGGCAGGAGGATCACTGTGGGATTGAGCTAGCCTAGGCTACATAGTGAGTTCAAGGCCAGCCTGGACAAAACAGCAAGACTCAATCCCCCAAACCAAGCAAGCAAGCAAACAAGCAAGCAAGCAAGCAAACAACAAACCCTAACACAGTGTCCCACCCCAAGCAGTGTATGTGGGGTATTTCAGAACACAGGTTTGTTTTGCCGTACAGGGGACTGAACTCAGGACCTCAAGCCAAGCCATTCCCTAGCCCAGTTTATGTTGAGACAGGTCTCCCGAAGTTTCCCAGGCCGAGTCATCCTATCAGACCCTTCCCAAACCACAAGTCACACGGCCACAGCCTCAGACAGGGCAGAGGAAGTGATGGCCACCCCTGCACCACCCCCCCTGTCCCTCTAAACCCCCATAGGCGCAAGCCAGCACCGCCCTTCCAGTCCCTGGTCAGGCAAATCAGTGCATCTGTGATCACTTGCTCATGCCTGCCCTGGGTGGGATGGGCTGGTTGCCAGGGAGGTGTGGAGGGTCAGGTACACCCGAGCTGTGGTCAGCTGGTGATGTCTGTCCTGGTGCTGCCAAGCGCTGGGGACCAAGGTGCCTTCCCTGCCTGTCCCTATGCCTGTCACCATCTCTGCCTCTGTGCTCGCCAGGCCCCTGCAGGTTGCTCTCATGGCGCCCCCGAGCGAGGAGACACCCCTGATTTCCCAGCGGTCCTGTAGCCTCTCATCCTCAGAGGCTGGGGCTCTGCATGTACTGCTGCCTCCTCGGGGCCCCGGGCCCCCCCAGCGCCTGTCTTTCTCCTTTGGGGATCACTTAGCTGAGGAGCTGTGTGTGCAAGCTGCCAAAGCCAGCGGTAAGCGGGTCCCTAAGGGCTGGGCCCAAAAGACAGGGCTGTAGGGGGCCTGGACTGGGGGCAGGAATAAGTAGCTGTCTGCAGGAGTGAGCGTTGCCCTTGGGGCTTTGAGGGGTGTGTAGGAGTTTGCTCAGGAGGAGGTGGGAAGTTGCGGCCTAGGAGTGCACACTGGGGTCCAGGTGGGAGCTGACACGCGGTCCCCACAGGCATCTTGCCTGTGTACCACCCTCTCTTCGCGCTGGCCACAGAGGACTTGTCTTGCTGGTTCCCCCCAAGCCACATCTTCTCGGTGGAGGATTTGGGCACCCAGATCTTGGTCTACAGGCTCCGGTAGGAAGCACCCCCACCCATCACCCCTATTATCACTGCACCTGGACCGCATGCTCACTGCCCATTACACAGGTGGGGATACTGAGCCCAGAGAGGGTGGGTCACTTTCCAGGGGTCACACAGCAAACTGTGGCAGTACCTGCCAACCCCCCATGCCATCCTCACCCCAGGACCCCCGCCCCAGTTTTTATTTCCCCAGCTGGTTTGGGCTGGAGAAATGCTACCGCTTCGGGCTCCGCAAGGACCTGGCCAGCGCCATCGTGGACCTGCCTGTCCTGGAACATCTCTTTGCCCAGGTGGGGGTCCCCGGGGTAACATCGGGGGCACGGTTGGGCGGGGCTCCAGGTGACCCTCGCTGTGACCTGTCCCCAGCACCGCAGTGACCTGGTGAGTGGGCGCCTCGCCGTGGGCCTCAGCCTCAAGGAGCAGGGTGAGTGTCTCAGCCTGGCCGTGCTGGACCTGGCCCGGATGGCCTGTGAGCAGGGGCGGCCGCCGCAGGAGATGCTGCGCACCGTCAGGTGGGGCACGGAGCGCGGTCTGCCCCATGGGCGCCACTACGCCAAGCCCAGGGTCCCCGGGGCCCCCGCCCCCCTCCACCGGGAGCTGCTCAGGCGCAGCCAGGCCTGCTGTCCCCCAAAGGCTGCGCGGGCCCCGGCCCCCAGTCCCGTCGGGCCGTGGCCCGCGTGCCCACAACCTAAGGCCGGGTCCCCCGCAGCTACAAGTCCTGCCTGCCCCGCGGCCTGCGAGACCTCATCCAGGGCCTGAGCTTCGTGACGCGCAAGCGGATCCGCAGGACGGTGCGCCGCGCCCTGGGCCGCGTGGTCGCCTGCCAGGCCGACCGGCACTCGCTCATGGCCAAGTATGTCATGGACCTGGAGCGGCTGGACCCGGCCCGGGCCACCGAGACCTTCCGCGTGGGGCTCCCGTGGGCCGCGGGCGGCCAGGACGTGCAGGGGCGGCTGCGCGTGGCCGGGGGCAGCGGCATCGCCTGGAGCCCCGGGGAGCAGGAGGTGCGAGGCTGGGGCGGGGCTCTGAGGGGCGTGGCCAAGACGCGCACAGGCGCCGAGGTGGGCGGTGCTCAAGATAGGGTTGGCCGGGCGGGAGGAGGAGACTGGGGTGGGCGGGGCTCAGACCGGCCGGGAGCCGAAATGGGAGGGGCTTTGGCGGGCGGTGGGCGTGGCCAGCGAGGGGCGTGGTCAGCGGAGAAGGAGCAGCAAAATGGGCGTGTTCAGGGCCGGGCAGGGGACCGAACAGGAGTGGGTGGGGCTAACAGAGAAGGGGCGGGCCAAGGGGCGGGGACAGAAATGGCAGGGACTGGGTGGTGGGCGTGGCTAAGAGGAGCTGGGGCTCTCTCAAGGGCTGGGTACAATCAGCGAGGAGGCGAGATTTGGCAGGGGAGGCAGGAAGAGTGGGCCTCACTGTTGGGCATGGGAGGGTCCTGGCATAGGGGATGGAAAGTGGGCCTGTGTGGGCGTGTCCAGGGAGGGAGTGGGCGTGCCCAGGGCGTGGCCTGTTGGGGTGGGGCGTGTGGCCCGTGCTGGGGGCGTGGCTTGCTCCGGGGGCGTGGCCCGGGCGAGCGCCCCCCATTCCCGCGCAGCCCTTCCAGCAGTTCTGCGACTTCCCGGAGATCGTGGATGTCAGCGTGAAGCAGGCCCCGCACGCGGGCCCCGCCGGGGAGCGCCGCCTGGTCACCGTCACGCGCGCCGACAGCCAGATCCTGGTGGGTGCGGGCCCCCCGGGGGAGGGCCGCTGCCCGGGCGCGCGCTGACGGCGTCCCCGCAGGAGGCCGAGTTCCCGGCGCTGCCCGCCGCGCTGTCCTTCGCGGCGCTCGTGGACGGCTACTTCCGCCTGACGTGCGACGCGCGGCACTTCTTCTGCAAGGAGGTGGCGCCCCCGCGGCTGCTGGAGGAGGTGGCCGAGCGCTGCCACGGCCCCATCACGTGAGCGCGGGCCTGGCCGGGGCCGGGGTCGCGGCGGGCTGTGCAGGGAGCGGGGTTCGGACCAGCCCTGACCGCGTCCCTCCGCCCCGCCGCGCCCTGCGTCCTGCCTGCCCCGCAGCCTGGACTTCGCCGTGCACAAGCTCAAGGCCCGGGGCTCAGTCCCGGGCTCCTACGTGCTCCGCCGCAGCCCACAGGACTTCGACAGCTTTCTGCTCACGGCCTGTGTCCAAGTTGGTTTTCCTCCGGGGCCGGGGGGCGGCGCCGCGGAGTGGGTGCTGGAGCGGGTGCTGCCCGAGCCCAGGGTGGTGCCGCGCGCCTGCGATCACAGCCATTCGGGAGGCTGAGGCTGGAGGATCTCAAATCCAAGCCCCACACGCCGCTTAGGGAGCCCTCCCTCGCAGACACCCCTGGGCCCCGACTACAAGGGCTGCCTCATCCGCCGCGACCCCACTGGGGGCTTCTTCCTGGTCGGCCTCAGCCGGGCGCACGGCAGCCTCAGGGAGCTCCTGGCCGCCTGCCGCGAGGGCGCGCTGCGCGTGGACGGCGTGGCCCTGAGCCTCACCGCCTGCTGCACCCCCACGCCCAAAGGTGCGGCCCCGACTTTCCTGGCCCGTGGCAGCTCCTGGGTGGTGGAGCGGGGCAGACGTGCAGGTCTGGGTGGGGTGGGGGGGAAGCTGTGATTTCGCGTGTGCAGGGAGGCCTGCACTCTTGGGGACCCTGGCCTCTGACCTCAGCTTCCCCCTCCGCTCTGTCCCCTAGAGAAGTCCAACCTGATCGTGGTGCGGAGGGGCTGCGGCCCGGCCACCGGCGGCCCCGCGCAGCCCCCGGCGCAGCCCACGCTGAGCCAGCTGACCTTCCACAAGATCCCCCCCCACAGCCTGCAACGGGTACGGGGCGGGGCTCTGTAGGCTTCCCGGGCCTCTGTTTCCCTGTCTGTCCAGCGTGGCCCCTCACGGGCTGCTCCTGCTGTCCCCACTGCCCCCAGCATGAGAACCTGGGCCACGGCTCCTTCACCAAGATTTACCGTGGCTCCCGCCGCGAGATCGTGGACGGCGAGGCCAGGGAGACCCAGGTGCTGCTGAAGGTGCTGGATTCCGAGCACAGGAACTTCGTGGAGGTGAGGATGGGCGGGGCGGAGAAGTCAGGAACATTCGGGAAGCACACAGCCCGTGTGGCCGCACACATCTGCAGTTCCAGCTACCTGGGAGGCTGAGGCAGGAGGGTCTCAGGTTAGAGCCCAGCCTTGGCCACTTAGACCTTGTCTCAAAATAAAAGAAATACAAAGGGTACAGTGGATGTAGCTCAGTGCAGAGGCCCTGGGTTCAATCCCCAGGACCTCAAAAACAAAAATCATTGGTGCACCAGTGGGGGACACGGAGTCAGAGCCGCATGGCCTCCTGGGATACATACATCTGCTCCTCCCCCTAGTCCTTCCTGGAAGCAGCCAGCTTGATGAGCCAAGTGTCCTACCCGCACCTGGTGTTGCTGCACGGCGTGTGCATGGCTGGAGACAGTGAGATGCCGCCCGACCCTGCCTCCCCCGCACCCGCTGCCCCTTCCACCCCCAGTGGCTCCGTCCCTTCCCGGGTGGCTCCCTCTGTGGGCGGGGGAAGGAAGGGTGGGTTCTGTAGTGTGCATGGGAGTTTGGAGGTCATTTTGGGGTGAAGAAGCGGCATGTGTACAGGCTCTGAGGTATGAAGGTACTGGGAAAGGCTTCCCCAAGAGAGGGCACATTGGAGTTGGGGGTTTGATGTTTGAGTAGGAGTTGATCAAGATAAGAAATTCCCTAGGCAAAGGCTGGTAAGCTAGAATGTGTGTTGCACACCGCAGACCCCACCAGGCAGTTCAAAAGGCTTCCCCAACTCCAGGTGTGGTGGTACATGCCTGTAATCCCAGCACTCGGGAGGCTGAGGCAGGAGGATCATTGCAAGTTCGAGAGCAGCCTGGGCTACAAAGTGATCTCAAGGCCAGCCTCAACTGCATAGGGAGAGCCTGTCTCAAAAAGACCAAAAAAAAAAGCTTCCCCAGAGGAGGAACACTGGGTCTGGAGCTTGGAAGGTGGGCGGTGCCAGCCACACCTCACGCCCACCTGTGTGCGAGCTCTGTTCATCTTGGCATAGGCCGCACAACCTCTCTGAGCCTTGGTTCCATCACTCTGGTTCTCAGTTGTCTAATGTGAGTCTGACCTGTGCAGGGGGGGCACGAGCAGAGGACAGCAGTGGGGTGCCCTGGGGCAGAGCCGGCGCACACAGCGCCCTCCTCCTCCCACCCCTACCCCACACCAGGCACCATGGTGCAGGAGTTTGTACCCCTGGGCGCCATTGACACCTACCTGTGCAAGCGCGGCCACCTGGTGCCTGCTAGCTGGAAGCTGCAGGTGACCAAGCAGCTGGCCTATGCCCTCAACTATTTGGTGAGTGCTCCTCTGCCTCCTGTACCTGCCATGCCCAGGGGCAGCTTCCTCTGGAAGGGGGGAATGGAGTGTGGGCTCTACAGCATGGATAGGAGTTTGGTATGGAGGAAGGGGAGGGAATTTGAGAATGAAGGAGCTGCATATGAGCCAGCACTGGAAGGGGACAACTGGTCACCTGGTCACCTGATGTCAGGGGGAGGAGTGAGTGAGGCCTGGGCAAGGGGGAAAGACTTACCCAAAGAAGGCACATTGCAGTTGGGCTTTGACATTTGAGTAGGAGTTCATCAAGAGGAGCAAGGAAGGGTGGCCTGTCAGACTGAGGAACAACCGAGGCAGAGGCTGGAAAGCATGTTGCACATCCCAAGCCCCGGCAGGCAGCTCGGTTGGCAGGAGACCAGGGTGGGGATGTAAAAGCAGCTCAAGAGCAGAGTGAGCAGGGGCCTTGAGTGCGAGGCTCAGGAGCTTTGATTTTGTCCCAAAGCCAGTGGGGAGCATAGTGGGGAGGGCTGCCTTTGAGAAGGGAAAGGACAAGGCCAGGTGAGCACAGGTGAGACAGGGTGCCAGGGAAGGGCTGGAGCACTTCTGGGCAGTACCAGGTGGGCTTTGAGGGGTGTGTAGGAGTTTGCCAGACATCAGCTCTGCCAACAAATCCTTCTTGGCCCTTCCCTGTAGGAGGACAAAGGCCTCCCTCATGGCAATGTCTCAGCCCGGAAGGTGCTGCTGGCGCGGGAGGGGGCCGACGGGAGCCCACCGTTCATCAAGCTCAGTGACCCGGGTGTCAGCCCCACTGTGCTGAGCCTGGAAAGTGAGTGTCTGTGGGTGGGCTTTGCAGGGTGTATAGGAGTGTGCCGGGGTATCTATTTATCAAACCCTCGCTGCCATTGCCCCATGCTGAGCCCCTGGGAGGACAGAGGCCTCTGTCGCGCCCCTGACCCGTCCCTGTCCTCAGTGCTGACCGATAGGATCCCCTGGGTGGCCCCCGAGTGTCTTGATGAGGCCCGGATGCTGGGCCCCGAGGCGGACAAGTGGGGCTTTGGAGCGACGGTCTGGGAGGTCTTCAGCGGGGCCCCGGTGCCCGTCCGCTCGTTGGATCCTGCCAAGGTCAGAGCGGCCGCGGGGCCCTTGAACGCGAGCGCGGCCGGGGCGGCGGGCCGGGCCTGCCGAGGGTGGCGGTGACCGCGCTGCCCCTGCGCTGCAGAAACTCAAGTTCTACGAGCAGCGGCGGCAGCTGCCGGCGCCCAGGTGGACGGAGCTGGCCGCGCTGATCCGCCAGTGCATGGACTACGAGCCGGGCCGCAGGCCGAGCTTCCGCGCCGTCATCCGGGACCTCAACAGCCTCAGCACCTCAGGTGCGCGGGCCACGGGGCGGGGCGCACAGCTGCGCGGGCGTGGCCCCGGGGTCCGCCCCTCCCCTCCCCGCGCACCCCTCCGCCGCTCCTGCCCCGGAGGACCGAGCCCAGGGCCTCTGTGCTGAGCCACATCTGCAGCCCTCAAATGTGCTTATTTTCTTCCTCCTCCTCTTCTTTTTTGCGACAGGGCTATGCCAAGTAGCAGGCTGGCCTTGAGCCCACTCAAAGGCCTTGGGCCCCGCTGGGTCCCAGGGGATGCGAGCGAGGGCGTGGGCGCCCCGTGCTAGCTTCCCGTGGGCCATGATAGTGGCCACCTTGCCCGTCTCACCTGCAGCTCGGTCACAGGACCTCACTCACGGCGGCTGTCTCCCTGTGGCCTCGGCAGCTGTGTGCGGTCGCACAGGGTGTGCACTGCTCAAGGAGGCTGCTTTGCCCAGGGGCGCCCTCTGGCTCACGTGGCCTGGCTGTACCGAGGAAAGTGTGCAGCCGAAGGGCTCAGGGGCAGGGCCCGGACCAACTGTGCTGCCCGCCTGTGTACCCAGATTACGAGCTCCTCTCCGACCCCGCGCCTGATGCCCTGGGGCCCCGGGACGGGCTGTGGAGCAGTGCGCAGCTCTACGCCTGCCAGGACCCCACGATCTTCGAGGAGCGGCACCTCAAGTACATCTCGCAGCTGGGCAAGGTGCGGCCGCCGGGCGGGGGGCTGCTTGGGGGTGGCTTGGGGGCGGGCCTGGCGGGCGCAGGACTCGCTGCCTCCCTCGGTCCCCAGGGCAACTTCGGCAGCGTGGAGCTGTGCCGCTACGACCCGCTGGGGGACAACACGGGCGCCCTGGTGGCCGTGAAGCAGCTGCAGCACAGTGGGCCGGAGCAGCAGAGGGACTTCCAGCGGGAGGTGCAGATCCTGAAGGCGCTGCACAACGACTTTATCGTCAAGTACCGCGGCGTCAGCTATGGCCCCGGTGAGCCTTGATGGCCCCAAGGCCTGGACACCTTCCGGCCACGGGTTCAGTCCTGCTGGGCAACTCTTCGGTTTTTTTAAGACACGGTTTTGCTATGTAGCTCAGGCTGGCCTTGAACTCGAGGAGATTCTCCTGCCTCAGCCTCTTGAGCGCTGGGATGACAGGTGTGCGCCACCATGGCTGGCTGTTTTTATGGGCGGGCGGAATGATTTTTGAGACAGGTCTCGCCATATAGCCCAGGCTGGCCTAGTACTCACTGTCTAGGCCCGGCTGCCTGCCTGGCCCGGAGCTCGAGGAGATCCACCTGCCTCAGCCTCCGCGGGCAGGGCCTGCCGCGGCCCGTGGCGGGTGCTTGCCCGCTGAGCGCGGGCTGTGCTGTTCCCGCAGGCCGGCAGAGCCTGCGCCTGGTGATGGAGTACCTGCCCTGCGGCTGCCTGCGCGACTTCCTGCGGCGCCACCGCGCGCGCCTGGACGCCGGCCGCCTGCTGCTGTTCGCCACGCAGATCTGCAAGGTGCGCGGGCGCGGCGGTTAGGCGGGTGGGCGGGTCCCCGGGAGCACCCCGCGAGTGCCCGCCGTCCGCACCCCCAGGGCATGGAGTACCTGGGCGCCTGCCGCTGCGTGCACCGCGACCTGGCCGCTCGCAACATCCTGGTGGAGAGCGAGGCGCACGTCAAGATCGCCGACTTCGGGCTCGCCAAGCTGCTGCCGCTGGACAAGGACTACTACGTGGTGCGCGAGCCGGGCCAGAGCCCCATCTTCTGGTGCGTGTGCCCCGCCCGCCCGCAGCGCGCTGACCACGCCCCCGCCCTCGGCCCCGCCCCTGTCAGCTCTGGCCCCTCCTCCACCCGCTCCCGCTC